GTTGGCCACATTGGGGTCTCACCTACCTAGATGCTATTTCTGAAATCAACGTAAGTGTTCTTCATGTACGAAAGCTTATTCAGCATGAGACAAAGAGGAAAATATTCGCCCTAAAAGTTTCTAAATGTTATGGCGCACATAGTTACTGTCAGTGGAAGCCGTGTCTTTCGGGGTTAAACCGGTTCTCTGCAATGTTCCTAACTTGTATGATAGTGGAGGATAAGACTCACTATATTGTTTGTAAACCATGGTGGTTTACTACTGTGCATCACGGCTGAGTGACATAAGCTGCTGACTGTTGGCGCGAGCCGCTAGTGGTCAAGGGTTCGGATCATGATGGATCCGGTGGATGCGCACTACCGACAAGACACAAAAAACGTCGAAACGGCCGTTTAGTGCTTTTCAAGGCAAGTGGAGGACTATCTAACTTGGAAGGTGCTGCTACGACGATTGCGGTGTAAAAGTGTTGAGTCAACTACACACTAACCTTGCACATGATGGACTCCACTCACTGGTCCCCTTTTCACCCAGCGTTTCGCTTACCATGACTGACCTGTTCGGCAGGTCACTGTCAGAAGGTTTGTTTGGCTATTGGTTGGAAATGTTCGGTGATAGAGCCGATTCGGAAAGACAGTCGTCATCCTAGTAAAGTTGACAACTAAAGCACCAATTGGTCAAACACCTATTTTGGCCAAGATTGCCGAGAATGTCATGGAGAAGGCTCTACTACAGCTGTTCCAAACAAAAGATCTGACGCGCGCAACGTCTGATTTCATGTATCACCAACGTGCTGGCGAAGAGGCACAAATGGTTCCAGGTAGTGAAGCAGAGTAAGTCTGTCGACGTGACACACCGATTTCAGCAAAGCGTTCGACAAGGTTAACTAGGACATGTCACTCCACAGGCGGAGAGTGTGCGGTACTGGTGGTTCAATGCAGCAGCGAACCCGCGAGTTTCACGTTGGTCGAAAGTAGAAAGTGCAAGTTGAAAGACATCTGACCGACTCGTATTCTTCTACTAGTGGGGTACACCCCAGCGCACGGTGCTGAGAGCCACATTGTTCCTGATTTATATCAACGATCTACCTCAGCTTCTTCGACCGTTACGTGCTGCTATTTGTGTTGCGCTAATCGATGCCCCATGGTCTCACTGTACTATGCAATGCGCAAGATGGATATCGGGATTTTGCTCTGGATAACCACACCACTTGGGCCATCCGCTGAGACGCCCGCCTACCGACTAGTTGTTTTACTTCATGTGTTCCTAGTCGATGCTCACGTGGTATATTACAACACCGCTGATAGTAGTGTAGATGGCAACATAGCACCACAAGATGATCTTAACACGGCTTACGAGTGGTCGGCTAGGATAATGCTTGTTTTCAACGTTCCGAAGGCAAAATAATGAGCATACGCCCCCAGAGCACCTACGAATATCGACTAGATAAAAGTGTTTCGCAGTGTACTTCCCATGAAAGTGATTTTGGGGTACTCGTGGAGGACGATCCCGGATGCTGAAAAAGGCAGTCGAGAAGGCTGTGGAAAAAGCAACCAACATTTGGGCCTATTTCGCAGGATGCTTCGATGGTTTGATATGACCAGTTTGCAAATGCTCAAAGTTTAAGTGAGACCAATTGTAAAATACGCCATTCAAACGGGACACCCTCGGTAAAAACATGGCCTCGTCGCTTTTGAGAATCCACAACAAAGGATGAATGAAATGTTAAGAGTTTGCTCTACCCGCTTACCAGTTTAAATTAAAGACCATAAGAGTTTTAAGTGAGAGCAGCTGCACACTCAATCAATGACGTGGTGCACAAAGAATAGAAAAATAATGGCCAAGACAGTAGCATGTGTCGAACTGGGTCCACTCATAAAATGACTTCACTAGTGAGAACAGTGCAGGAACTCAAGGGGTTGAACAGCGTAGTCGAGTAGTGAATAGAGCACACATATGGCAAGTTTCAAAAGCAAATATTGTTAGATGTGTAAGAGCAGATCAAACCAAAAGTATCCAATAGCATTCAACAGTGCTCACCTGGTAAAACAAAGCAAAATCGAATGTAACCCCTTCAACTTTGATGGGCAGCACTTCAAAGACAATGCCAGACTGATGCAAATCGGACACCTTGGCGAGGGCTTGGCGCTGCGATGAGGAAAAGTGAAAACAGGAAGCAATGAATTTTGGCAAACAAACCGGAAGAAGAACCTGGCAGCGTGAAGTATGATTTTAGGAAAAAAACCGAATCAATGAGGCGATCCTGTAGAAATAACACCTTTGGATTCTGCTCCAGGCTAGTCGCTCGCTTATTGCGCGCGTGACTGGTACTCGTAAAGACCACTTGTAGAGCCATGAGTATTGACTGCATAGCCATATATTGCGGGTATTGGGCTCATTGGAATACCCAACGGGATTTCAGTCCGCTCCACCGCATTGAAAACACCATTGATGTTTAAAGGCTAAGCACTGTTATAACATAACTGGGACATGGATAGTTGGATTTGACCCGAAAACGCTAATACCCTCAATAGTCATGTCCCTGAATGGTGTCAGTTCGTCTATGGCAGTATGTGGGAAAAGGGATAGGAAAGTAAGGGGGGTTTACGATAATCATTCGCCAGTGATACTGTAAGTCAGACATTTTAAAATAGCACATAAGAAATTGAGGAAAGGTTAAAGTAACAACAGGCGACACTTTTTACAACAAGTTTATCATATTCCGATGTGGCTGTGCAGATGTAAATTTATACTTGCTCTCACAATAAAGTATTTGGTACGTCTGGGTGATATTTATGGTTAAATGATGGTAAGGGTTCTGGATGGGGCATAGAGACGCATCAGGGAAGCGTTACAAAGTTGTCTCGTCCTTTTTAGACGAGTCAGTAGGGCATACCTCCATTGTGACCATAGTACGGGACTTGTTCGCAAGAAACCACTGCTCAGTTGCACAAACATTTATCATCCCAGCTGGGGTCGAAACCAAAGACCGGTAGGGGGAGGTGAATAAGTCAAGCGAAACGATAAAAAACACCGAATCTTCTTCTGTAAGCCTCCTACTGAGACTATCTCAATTGCACTTTTGTTAGCTAATGTGATCATAAATGAGAATTTTTCACAGAAATAATACCGTTTTATTAAGCGCAAGCACTAAGCGATGGTTCATCGGGCAAATCAAATATAAGGCGTACAATTTTAATAAAACGATATTGACAAAACGAAAAGTAATGAATTACGATGCAGAAAACTTACTGCCCGTCGACCGGGGCTCAAAATTTAACTTGGATACTATTTTCTTGTGTAACTAACTGGTGTCTGAAGCGTTAGAAAACGGAATCGATAAGAGGGTGAAAGGTGTCAAACACTCTGGCTTACGTTTATGTTAAATGTATGGTTCGCTATAGGGCTAATTCTGTTAAACGCTCCGCTAACCATTGATCAAAAGAATTGATTCTATGCTTGCGAATAGAATGTTAGTCTTTTTTGTAAATTTTCCGTTACAACTTGCTGTTACAAGCGTCGTAAGAGGAACTGTGCTGACGAAACATGTGGAATTGGTAGTTAGGTGACATTTACAGCAACAGAGAGATTTAATTGCTAACTAGATGGCAAACGTAATGACGTTTATGGTCTAGGAATAATTAAACAGATAAATAAATAACAGTCCTGAGGACAGAATGCCAAGAAGAGAAAAATACAGACACAATTAGCCCCACCTTATATAAGAAGAATTGGCATTTGCGTACACGCATGCTTGCAAGCTTATCTGCTGCCCTATACTTGACATCCTCCCCACTACTTAGTTGTACAAAATTATCCTTCACTACATGTAAAGTGGTAACATGTGCTATTCTTATAGGTAAACCGCAGGTCCTCAGAACGAGACGAAAGATCATCCATGCCGATGTTAGTCCCGACCCACCAAAAGTGTTAACCGGATTAACGTAATGCTTTTTGCTAACCTCTTACGCTTCGATATATATATATATATATATATATATGTTACAAATAATCTTTTCTTTTTCGGTAAACCTCAGTTATGTATTCCATCAAATGTAGCACCATTGCCATTTGCTAAAGCAATGAAAAGAACACGAGCATTTGGAAGTCCCACGAGGATCGGCTGTGCCCAAGAAAAAATGTCTATATTCGCTCCACGGATGGTCATATGGCATCAATTGACTTATTGACCATATCTACATTTGTTCCCACCCATTACCTCCCGACCCGTTTATAAATTGTAATTGATAGAACACTCCGAAAACTCCTTTGGGAACTCTACTATCCAATTATGCTTTACAGAATCATCAAACCACGTAGTTGGTGTGTGTCTCGCACTGCCGAGAAACATACCATGTATTTAATTATTTATTCCTATGCAAGCGCATAAAACATCTGTAATACTTTGGATCTGACTCTGAATGGGAACAACTCCCAGCATAGTCTAGAAATACACTGTTTATTTATTTAAGAGGGAAGGAAAGGGTGAATGACCTTAATGCGGTCCAGTCTGTGAAGAACTCAAGGGAGAGCCTCCTGTAGTCCATCGCACGACCTCGGGAGTCGAAGTAAAGACAGCTCAAAGGAAAGGACCCCCTTTGAAACAAGCTACAAAGTTAAGCAAAGTCGGCAGGCTGCAAGGCTGAGGTACGGACTGTGTTCCGAACACAAGTAGAGAAATTCTACTGCCAATGTTTAAACTATCGGAAACCACTTCAAGGCGTCGCTTGTACTACAATAAGTCACAATCGTTTTCCCACTATCGTATATATATGGTCGTACGGAGTTATATAGCTGATGGACGAATTTGTCTATGGTTGTTTCCGAGCAGCAGTTGGTAGTGGCCAGTCCAGTAACTAAAAAGTGCACCATGTCCTCCTAGAGTGCAATGGGTAACCTCCATGGTGGTTACAAATCGAACCACACGTAACAGGTCGCATTCCGCGGCCTACTGCAGAACAGCGTCCACTTAAATTAGAGTAAGTCGAACCCAAGTACCATTGGTCGACGACTCAGCATTATTAGGGACGCGAAGAAACCCGGGTCGGTGTTAGCAGTGCATTTGGGGCCCGAAGCAGTGATGGCAAGAATTGCTGTTATTATGCCTGACATCGGCTTAGGATGTGGATGAAGCGAATCCGGAGTAAGATTTCTGATCCGGAGGACGACTTGGGTGAACAGTCGAGAATAGCGACGAGTTCAGGTGTAATCTCTATAGCGTAAATCTAGAGGGAAAATGCGCAAAGATGAAAAATGTAAAGGAGCAAGAGGAAAACTAATGGCTGGGTTCGGTGAACAGCTACTGAACAGAACAGACTGATTCACATCATCATCATCATCATCAACAGCAGTACATCAGCCATTTGTACTGATGCTTCGCTGCCATACAACCATAATGACCTATGAAATAAAGAATAATAAGAGGGAGAGAAGGGGGACTTACTTGAAAACCTTAATACCCTAAGCAAACATTCAGGGTCACTGACTGATTCACAAGGCTATGTGATTAACAGTTGGACTGAGAGTGTTCCATCGGAGGTCTTTGATGTAATAGTCCGGTGCGTAGAGAAAAGCAGCGAATCCAAATTGCCTAGTGGGTATTCCACTGCGAGCTCTAAGCCCAATAGCCAGGTTCACGAGATAGTGAGAAGCAGGTCCAGTTCACAGGTATGATTTCAACGTTTCATAGGGCGCTGTTCAAGATGTAGCACATGCAATTTTGACGGATGCTAAGGATTTCATGCCAGCTGATGATGATACACTCGGGACCGAAGTCAACTTTAAGCGAGTCCTAGTAGGCCAAGTAGCTATTAGTGAACCGCAACGAACTAATTACTTTAGTAAAGTATGCTAACGGACAGAAAAAGGATTTGCGCCACCACAACCACATGAACGTCCGGACCATTTTAGTACACACTAAATTGTGAGAAAGAAAGATAAAGCATCCGCTGCAGCCAGTTTGCCAGTGCCCGGGAATAGATCTAGTAACACTCCATCGTCTGCAAGGAATACGCCAATTACTTAGCACCATATTACAATGAACAATGATTTATCACGGGATAAAATCAAGTGCTTGACACGTCCTGTAGGATGGTTGGGGTGAATATGATGAAATCAAAATATATCTGGATCATCTACCGAACGTCTGCCGAGATGAATATTTTGATAGGTAACATCAGTGTAAAATTAAAATAAATTATCGAGCGTAAACGTTCAAAAAGACACTGAGGTGCAGTGATCGTTGATGTAAGGAGTGAAAAAAGTAAAATATGGTCGCTCACTTAAGTCCATTTGATACATAAATCCTGTTGAAAAGCATGTTTGGCGTAATCCACAATAGAGGAGTTTAGGTAACAAAATGCTGGGAGCTAAGAGCAACATCTAATCGTTTTTTCGAAAGCGCCCAAGGTAAGAGAGGATACAATTGAGTCTGGGAGTGCGATCCAGGGTTGGCAAACCCGAAGGGAAAGTAATTCCGTCGACACTCTAGACGGCTGTATTGTTCCTTCAATTTTAACCAGTAACCCCTGAGCTGCGTTTTGTGGCTAAGTTTCAGCAAATGGCCGCATACGTGTTTGGGGTCACACAGTATGTGATACGCTAATTTGAAATCACCGCGCAGTCTTCGATAGCGTCTGCTGAAAATTCCCAGCAACTTCAGCCTTCGGTGGTAAGAGTGAGAGCGCAGGCCCTTTACATTCTTTGTTGCTCTCCCTTGTGGTGCATCTAACGCTTCTAGGTAGCGCCTCAATCAAGGTTGCCAAGCTTGGATAGCGTAGTCAACATGCAGGCGCACGTAGGAATTGTGCATCATTGGGAAGATTGATGGGTCAAACCTCCCGAATGCTCTTCGCAGTATGCCGACCTGCTGGTTACCACTTTTAGCACCTACCTCAGTGGAGGTCGCTCTGTACGAACACACCAAGGTCACGCTCCTGGGAGCTGGTCTGCAATCCGTTTGTCCCAAGTAAATATGTGTAGTTATGTCTATGGCGTAATTGTACAACGCGACATTTGTCTATGTTGAATGGTAGGGCGTTTCGAACTGACCAGTTCGACACTGTGTTAGGACCGCACTGGAGCCATTCGTGGTCGTCCGGCCCTCTGATCCTTCGTCATATCTTGATATCATCAGCGAAAAATAGTAA